AACTGGTTTGTTGTAGAGCGCTCAGGACGACAGCCACACTGATTGATATCCAAGATATTATGTTGCTCGAGAAAATAAATAAGACGCCTGTTAATTAATCTTTCAAAGGTTTTCCCCAGACAACTTGACAATGCTATTGGTCTGTAACTTGTAGGAAGGGAGGGGCCTTGCCAGGTTTCAACAGCGGTATAACTTCAGCCCGCTTCCATTCAACAGGGAAGTAGGCATCACACCAAAGGCCATTGAAGTACGTGAGAAGAGCACTGAGTGACTCTCTAGATAAGTGTCGGATCATGTCGTAGTGAATTCCATCGGGACCGGGGGCAGAATTCTTGCGGGAGTTGAGAGCCACTTCGAGCTCAACCATTGTAAATGGCTGATTGTAAAGTGCAGACGCTCCCCCTGTGAAGCAGAGCCTCGTCTTTCCCATGTTTGCCTTACGCTTCAGGAATGCTGGAGAGTAATGTGCGGAGCTTGAAACAGCAGCGAAGTGAGTGCCCAACACGTTAGCCTGGTCTAGCAATGAGGCTCCAGAAGAAGGAAAAAGGGGGATTGTAAAACAGCGGTATTTCCCCTCGACCTTGTGAAGTCGGTCCCACACTTCCTTTGCTGGAACATAGCTGCTGATGGAGGACAAGTAACTTTGCCAAGATTTTCCTTTAGCCTGCTTCCGAGTCCAGCGGGCACAAGCTCTGCGTCTCTTGAATTACATTAAGTTCACAGATGTCGGGTATCTACGAAAGACACCCCAAGCCTTATCTTGGTTATTCTTTGTGGTGGAACAATCCTCATTCCACCATGGCCTACATTTCTTGGGGACGTTCGAAGAAGTTTGAGTGATGGAGCAAAGAGCAGCACCAATTATATGCTCTGTGATGTAGGCTGTGGCATCGTCATGGGTTAATGAAGAGAACATAGAGGGCTTGGATTTTCGGCTAAAAAGAGCCCAGTCTGATTTTCCTAGCTTCCAACGCGGAGTCCGTTTCATAAGATTGGGAATAGATTTCACGCTCTCCAGAGCAACCGGAAAGTAATCGCTTCCAAAAGGATTATTCAAAACGCTCCATGTGAAAGAAGACACCAAAGGATGGAGAGGAAATGGAAAGATCAATGGATGTAAATGAGTTGTGAGCTGCGCTAAAAAAGGTAGGCTCACTGCTGTTCAAAAGACAGAGACTAGATGACAGTAAAAACCGTTCAATGACCCCAAAAAGCGAGTCCTGGCGTGTGCCACCCCACAAGGGATGGTGGGCATTAAGATCTCCTAAAAGTAAAAAAGGGTGAGGGAGCTGAGTAACTAAATCATGGAGATCATGAATATGCAGTGGAACATTTGGTGGAATATAGATGGAAACAATGGTGATGAAGCGGTCCAAGAGGAGACGTACAGCTACAGCCTCAAGGGGTGTAGAAACAGGAATCTGAGAACAAGCAACTCCACTTTGGACGATTACCGCTACTTCACCAGATGAGTTTGATGTGGAACGATCTTTTCTAAAAACTTGGTGACGACGTAAAATGGACACATGATGATCATTAAGGTGCGCCTCTCGTAAAGAGAGAGCTATAGGATGGAGGTTGTCCATAAAAAGTTAACATCGTCAATATTCCGTAAAAGGCCGCGGCAATTCCACTGCATAAAAGTAAATATAGTCATTATTCTAAAACAAAGTTAAAAATGAGTAAATCAGTAAAAATAGAAAAGTACAAGTAAAAGTAAGAACGTCAACTCTGCCGCGCAGGGCAATAAAGAATGTACAACATCACGTTGGTGGGATCATCGGTTTTTTGCTTTTGTGCTTACTCTTAGTAGTCTGCCACTCCATGTCGTCTTGATCAGACGCAGGAGTGGAGATTTCACACTCATCCATGGCCCCAGTTTCCTGAGGCAAGGCTTTTCCTGCAGGTTTCTTCGGGTTCGGGGAACGGGGCGTCATGCGCTGCCCGCGACCAGACCCAGCCAAAGGGGCAGAGGAGGTGCTGGGCAAAACGTCACCCAAGTCCAACCGTTCCTGTCCCTTAGGCGCTGAAGGTGCGGCACGAGAGCCATGCCGCTCCCTCGATGACGCTCTCTCCAGGGAATGTAGGCCCGAGAGTGTCGACTTCTCTCCCTGGAAAAAGATGCAGAGGAGGAACGGTTGCGGCAGCCACCGGCCCATCCTGGGTTTGGGAAACAGCCTGAGAAGATTCAGGCTGTCGCCCTGTTGGAGTGCGAGGGTTCGCACTCTGGCTGGGAGGGTCCGTAGATTGCCCAGCCGAGATTGCATGCCCCGGAAGCTGAATCTTCAGCTGGGGCGTGGGGGACTGCCGTGGCTTCCCATAGTCCAGAAAGGACGTATGGGTTGCCACTGCAACCTTCAGTGGTGCAGGTCCCCGCTGCACCACCTGCGCATAGCCACCGTTGCGCAAGAACGCAAAGCGACGGTGCGCTTCCGGGTAAGAGAGGTTTTCTTTGACCTTCAAGTTAAGCACTTCTTTCTCTTCTTTCCATGTCTTGCATGAGCGAGAATACGCTGGGTGTGGATCACTACAGTTGACACAATGGGCTTCATTGGAGCAGGAGTCCGCAGAATGGTCATTTTTCCCACACTTGGCTCAAGTGGCCTTACCACGGCAGTTCTGAGAGCCGTGGCAAAACCTCTGGCATTTCAAACATCTTCGAGGATTAGGCACATAGGGCCTAACCCTGCAGTGGAGATAGCCAGCCCTAACAACCTCGGGAAGTTGGGTAGATTCAAAGGTTAGCACTATGTGTTTAGTTTTCCGCTATTGACATTCCCGACGCATGGAGATGCGCCTCGCAGCTACAACTCCTTGGTCAGAGAGCCCTTCAAGTATCTCAGTGTCAGAGGCCTCAATCAGGTCATCTTCGGAGATAACGCCCTGAATAGTATTGAGTGTACCATGGGGTGAAACAGTCACTTTGTGATCAGACACAGAATTCAAAGCAAGGAGTGCAGTACTCTGCTGTCTGGATTCAATTTCTACGAGTAGGTCACCTGAGGGCATCTTTTTGGCTTTGAAGTTCTTTCCGACCACACTTTCTAGCACTTTCGCATCAAGAAAGGGTACATCTTGGAGAGTGGTTATCGTCTTCAGAGTGAATAACCAAAAATTTGGGGAATGCAGGGGGAGATGAGATCGTGTCTTTCAGAGGGACTTCGGTGCGAACCCTTTTCAGGGCCCAATCAGAGGGAAGTTTTGCTTTGGAACCCATGAGAGATGGGAGGAGATTCAGTGCCCGCGTGCACCGGCCACCACGGAGCCCAACAAGGGGCTAGGTAATGTGCCATCGCAAGAAAGGCTTGGCTAACACAATTACTCTACCGGTGCTGCCCGGGCACTATACCCTAGTGTGGTTGCAGGGACAGGACCTGTTTCAACTCAAGGTTGGCCCTTGCCGCTTAAGAAGGTGAAAAAGGAACGAAGAGAGTGTAGAAGAAAGGGGAAAGAGGTGGAAGGAAAACTTAAAGAAGGAAGAAGAGGCGACTGGCTGAATCATCCTGGTCGGGCCAAGCCAGGACACCCGTCTACGAGAAGCAGGGGCCGAAGCGGTGTATTGCCTCGCCCGGGGGCCCCGAAGGGTCCAAACATACTCCGGGCTCAGCTCAACCACCAGGTTCCCCTTTTCCCCGGACACGGGTTAAGCCATGCACAGCCAGACGTGAGTGGGAGAACCCACATGGCTCGGTGTTCGTAGTGACGCCACTAACCAAGCACGTACTAAAGTAGGTGCCCCCTGCGTGCGGGTATGGTGGCCCACAAGGATGGGGTCCGTGGTGACGCTACTTACCAAGCACCTAGCACCTAAGGTGCAGGCGCCCCCTGCGGAGCTCGGGCTCCGTGGAAACGCCACTCTCCAAACACCTACTTTCACAGGTGCCCCCTGCGGGGCGCCGTATGTGGCCTTTACCACGGCACCGTAGACAAAGCGGCGCCCTGCCCGGAACTACCACAAGAGCCAGGTCCCCGGCGACTCGCAGTTGGTGAGGAAGGGCGTCCACCGTGACTCCTGCCTTGAGCCTTAGAGACACCGACCGCGTCGTCGACGACACGCCGGCGCACCCTTGAGCGCGCCACCGGTCCCTGGTGACTTCTGTGACCTTTCCATAGGGCGCCAACGCCAAATGCACTTCGTCGTCGGGAACAAAGGGAAGCAGCCAGTGGAGCTTCAATCGTGTATCCTGGTTGCTCGGGTCGACCACAATGCACCGGCCCTCCTTGACGCGGAGCTCGCCCGCGGCGAGCAGCTTCGTTTTCCCTTCGGCACTTTTGAAGGTGACCGCCCACACATGGTTGTATTGGTACGCCCCCAGGGCAATTACCTCTGAAAAAAGCCCCACACCATCCAGGGCGTCGCGGAAATGTTCCAGGCGGTAGGGCCTTCCTCTCACGTCTGCGTGTAGAAAAACGGTATTCAAAACTGTCGTACCTGTAGGAAGTTGTGGCAAAATTACTTGATACTCCTGGGCATCAGATTCCGTGTTCCTGTTATTGCGGCCGTGGGCCGCTGATACCGCCCCGACGGAGCACATGATGACAAGTCCGTTCGCTATCGCTTCCGGAAGTGGAATGCCGATTTCCCGCACTAGCCGATTGCGCCACGGAGGCGGGTGACAACCTATAATATTTGGCCGAAACGTCTGTCCAGCCACTGTTGGAGAGACATTCATCAGTACCTGTGCAAATAAAAAGTGAAGCTTTAGCCTCGCCTCCGGGAGGGCTCGAACCTCCAGCCTTCCGGTTAACAGCCGAACGCGCTAGCCATTTGCGCCTTTTTTTTTTTTTTTTTTGCCAAGTTGGCTTTTTTATCATTTATGTAAAACAAGGGTTATTTACATGGTTAAAATACACTTGGGCAAAGACAGCGCACGATGTATCAATTTAAACAACACTGGTTCGTGTACCCAGTCACATTCATACAGTGGCTTCGAAGTTCCGCACTTATCTCCTCCGATTTCGAGGCGTTTTCGGCATTTTAAAGCGCGCTTCCAATTCAGCCCAGCCAGCCATTTCGGGGTTTTCCACCTCAGCAATGAGGCTACTCGCAATCATGAAGCCTTCTTCAAAGTGACGCCATGCTGGTTTTCCTTCATCGAGAACCAGGAGGTGATCTGTGCGGGACTTCCATATTGCGTGGAGTCCAAGCAGTGCCAATACCTCCAAACATTTGCTGTCAGGGCCTGTGCCAAACTCAAGGAGCTTCGCGCTGCGCCAATCCATGTACAATTCAACCTGTAATCTACAGCGTAGTTCCGCCCAGAATAACTCTGCGTTCGGGCAAAAAAGAAAAACATGCTGTAGAGTTTCCGGCGTGGGACATAGCACACAGTTCAAATTCCACGGAACAAAGAAGCCTTTCTTTTCCTGCCACGTCTTCACTGGCAGCAGTTCGGTGTGAAAAGAAATAAAGTCGATTGCGGCTTTGCGAACGGGGTAGCTGCGGAGGCGCTTGAAAACCGTGGATTCTACATCAGTTCCAAGAAAGGAGCGATAGAGCGGCGGTGGAAAGACCGTGTTGACTGTATCTCAATGCAGGGTTTTTCTTTTCACCTTGCTAAGGTACTGCCGAGAAAAACGTGCTTCAAAAAATTTGATGGCAGCAGCGATTTCTTTATAAAACCTCAGTAGAGCCGCTGACGTAGCTCCTTCCTGAGTTACAACGAGACATGGTGCTAACAGCCCGCCGCCAAGTTTAACAAATGACTGCACAATAACAGAGTTCCTCTGGTGGCGGAAAAATAAAAACCTCTGAACTTTGAGTTTAAGTTTTAGGTTTGCAACACCAAACCCTCCTTTGGCTTGGTTAACAAAATGTTAGTGCGCCTCATCCGCTCAAAGCTGGAATTCCAAATGAAGGTTGCACAAAAGCGGTGCATTTTATGGATTTCGCTTGCGTGACATGGCACAAGTTGAGCTGCATACCATACAGTGGAGAAAAATACTGAGTTGCATACGAAGACACGATTTAGAATGGAAAGGTTCCGACCACGCCAGTCTTGCACTTTTACCCTCAAACTGTTGAGGTGAATGCCCCCTTTACCACTACTAAGCGAATAGGGGTCTAATCTGACACCAAGATAATTCGTAAGAGTACAGCTCCAATCAATATTAATAAAGCGCTGCGGTTTCACGTCCCAGTCTCCCAGCCATGCGCCTGTAGACTTAGCGTGGTTCATTTGGGCACCGGATACTTCACAGAAATCAGCAAAGTGCTGCACCGCAAGAACAATTTCTAATCTGGTGGCGGCAACAACAGTGACATCATCGGCATATGCTAGCATCTTTGTGGCATTCCTGGCAAGGGGGACGCCCTGAATCCTGGTGTCGCTTTATATAGCGAGAACGGCATAGGCGAGAGGGGGCAGCCTTGCCTGACCGAGCCCTGAACTGAGATTGTTTCTGTTACGCTCCCATTAACCAATAATCGTGTCGATATATCTTTGTAACATAGTTTAATATATTTCGCGATTCTTTTGCCAACACCACACGCTTCCAGCAGATTGAATAGAAAGGCATGCGATACCCGGTCGAAAGCTTTACTGAGGTCAATCTGCAGCACTGCTGCAGAGAGTCCGGTTGCTTCAGCTGTTTTGGAAAGAATCCGGAGCGTGTGAACGTTAGAGGTAATAGATCTCCCCTTGAACCCGTAGCTCTGATGGTCGCCCACTACGAACTTAAGGCCCATCTCCAATCGTTTTGCCAATATCCTGGCCAGCAGCTTATAATCCGTCGTTAGAAGGCTGATAGGCCTTAATCTATCTGATGTTAAGACGCTAGAGTCCGCGCTTTTTTTTTTTTTTGTTTGTTTGAATTAGCACAGTGAGTGCCTGTCGCATAGAGGGTGGTAGTAGGTCCCTCCGGAGAATGTCAGCAAAGACGTAACATAATACGGGAACAAGAACGTCGGCGAACTTTTTATAGAACGCTGATCCTAAACCATCTACTCCAGGGGATTTCCGTGGTAATGGTTCTTTTATTGCTTTAGCAATCTCATATTTAGTGATTGTTTTGTTCATGCGTTTTTGAATACTTATAGGAATTTTGGGGAGCGCATTTACCCATTCATCTAGCGCCCGGTTGATCCCTTCGTCTTTGCTGGTGAATAGCTCTCGGAACTCTCTCACGAGTTCCTCTTCGATATCTTTCTGTACTGTTAAAACTTGGTCACCGGCCTGAAGGGAGTCTATACTGTTGTGCTGAGCTCGCATTCTTTCCTTTGTTTTAAAAATTTTACAGGGGTCTTCTTTTTCTAACGCTCTGAGCCTGCTGCGAACCATTGCTCCTCTGTAATCACTCTCCATGAGACCTAGCAATTGCGCCTTGCACGCACGTATATCATCGGTGAAAACGCCCGGGGTTTTGTTTTCTTCGGCGATTAAAGTTTGCAAGGCTTGTAGTAATGCATTCTTTGTTTCCCGCGCCTTTCTGGCCTTTGCTTTGCTGTGGTCATAACAAAGTAGCTTAATCTTTTCTTTAATTTCTTCCCATGCTACAGCATCAACATCCCCCTTCTGTGCTGCTTCCGATATAGTGTTTTTTTATCTGAGAACAGAGGGCCTCGTCGTCGAGGAGACTCTCATTAAGCTTCCAAGAGCTCCAGCAGAATGGTTTTCTTGTGGTTTTGTTCACCTTTCCTACCCGCAGCGCAACCATTGCGTGGTCAGAGAAGGCCACCGGAGACACCTGGTACGCGGTGACTGCCCTGATGAGTTCGCTCGATATATAAACACGATCTGGCCGAACGTGGCAGCAGCCTTGCCAATGAGTGTAGCTAGGACGTGATCCCTGAGACGCTTCGATCGCGTCCACGAGGTCAAAGTCTCGCAGTAGTTTATCAAGTTCTGACCGGCTGGAGTCTGATTGCAAGTTGCGTGAGCAATCCTGCGTGTTGAAAACAGTTAAAATCTCCTGCGATAATCGTCTTTACAGGACTGTCAAGATACTTCCGGAGATTGGTAAAGAAAGCCTTGCGGTCGGCCCCGTCGCAGGGGGCGTGTACTGATATTATTTTAAGCCGACTCCAGATACCTAATCACTTCCACCGAGCAAACTCGGCCGTTCCTATCTGTTTCCCATTCAGGGTAGATCACAAATCCTCTGTCTTTTCTTATCAAAATTCCGCTGCCGCCACTGTGCCCGACCGCCCTTGAGTGAAAAGAATGATAATATCTTTCGAAAAAAGATTCATGGCATTCACACGTGTCTAAGAAGAAAGTTTGGTTTCCTGAAGACAAATTATATCTACGTTTCCTTTCAAAAGCAAATTTAGAAGCCACTGTTTTTTTATTCTAGAAATTAAACTGACCGAGTTAAACATGGCGATCTTAAGTTGTTTCATTTTTAGGGGCGTAATGTGAGAAGATAAACTGCGGAAAAATGAATAAAAAAAGATCACCGCGTTGCATATGCTTCTTGGCGTCTCGGATTTTCGGCGGCGTCACGGTCTACGCTGGGTCTTGTCGCCGGCGGTCTTCAGATGGGATGCGAGGCATTGGGTTGAAGCGTCCTTTCTTGGTCAAACCACCCTTCCACTTTTGTTCTGCCGTGTGTGGCCTGTCCGGAGAAGGGCTGAGAGAGAACGGGTCGAGGGTTTGCAAGGCTGGGAAGTCGTCAGTCAGAGGTGCGTCGTCGGTGTCGATCTCAGTTTCTTCTTGACGCTCCTTGCTCAGCGGAGTGTCGGAGGTCTCTGCGGCTTGTTCAGTCAATTTGACAGGTGTTCCAACTGGTTCACTGAGGATACCTGTCCCTTGAGCTTTGGGTTCTGGCTCAGCGTTGGACTCGGGGGGACCGGTAGCAGAACTTGACGTTCCAGAATTCTCCTGTTTGTTCGTTGGTGGAGCGGGCGGTAGTCGCTGAGATTCGCTCCGTGCCGTATCCTCTGCTTCCTCCTCGTCCATCTCGAGGTCTTGCACATCATCCGTTGAAAGATCCCCGGTGACGGTGCCGTACGTACGCACTCAGTCTTAAGGTGCATGCCCAACCCTGCGGCACTGCTGACACCAGGGTGCCTTGCAACCCTTCCGGATGTGTCCTCTCGATTTGCACCGTAAACACAGGGGTGCGCGTCCGGGAACCACGACCAGGACACCTCCGCCACAGACTTTGAGCTGGTGAGGCAGGCTATCAATGGTGACGCCCTGCTCCAGGCTAAAGCGTACCATCCTCGTGGACGACTGTATGCCCTGAAAGCCTTCCGTCCTCCAGGTTTCGCGAGTGACCTCCTGAACCTTCCCGTACCGCTCAAAAGCTCGGAACAGAGCCTCGTCCGGAACGTGAAATGGCACCCAGTGCACTTTTAACCGGACTTCGGAGTTGTCCGGATCAAGCACTAAGCACTTCTTCTCTTTCACAGAGAGTTCTTGTGCTTCCACTAACCTCTGTTTGGCTCTTGCGGTGTGAAGTGTCAGCATCCACAGGTGGTTCATTTGGTAGGCGCCAATCGCCGCTATCTCCTTCATCACGCCAAGGCGTTCCAGTTCGGCCCTGAAGTGGTCTACCCGGTAAGGGCGACCGGTCACGTCGCAATGAAGAAAGACGGTGTTCACAGCAAAAATTCCTGCTGGCAGGGGTGGGAGAACAACACGATAATCGTCCGTCGAAGAAATAACAGATAAACTGCGGCCCGAGTTGGGCGTTATCACTGCTCCGCGGGAGCCAGCCATTCTGCGTCCGAGCGGTCCGAACGCCAGATGCAGAATGCGCTAGCCAATTGCGCCACGGAGGCGGGTGACAGCCTTTAAAATTTGGCCGAAACGTCTGTCCAGCCACTGTTGGAGAGACATTCATCAGTACCTGTGCAAATAAAGAGTGAAGCCTCCGGGAGGGCTCGAACCTCCAGCCTTCCGGTTAACAGCCGAACGCGCTAGCCGATTGCGCCACGGAGGCGATTGACAACCTACAAAATTTGGCCGAAACGCCAGTCCAGCCGCTGTTGGAGAGTCATTCATCGGTACCTGGGAAAATAAAAAGTGAAGCCTTAGCCTCGCCTCCGGGAGGGCTCGAACCTCCAGCCTTCCGGTTAACAGCCGAACGCGCTAGCCGATTGCGCCACGGAGGCGATTGACAACCTACAAACTTTGGCCGAAACGTCAGTCCAGCCGCTGTTGGAGAGTCATTCATCGCTACCTGGGAAAATAAAAAGTGAAGCCTTAGCCTCGCCTCCGGGAGGGCTCGAACCTCCATCCTTCCGGTTAACAGCCGAACGCGCTAGCCGATTGCGCCACGGAGGCGATTGACAA